GCCTGGGAGAGGCATTAGGCGTTATATCATTGCCTTCTGTTTTGGAAATCTCATTGATGGTATTCAAGAGGTTGGTGGTGAGGTCGCCTATTACCCTCGTTCTTTCTACTACGTTACCTGTCATATTAGAACTGTGTATATAGGGAAAAGGAATTTTGTTCTGTGTTTTTTTGTGAGCAATCCGTGCTAGTTGTAGATCTAGAAGAAACTAAAAATTTAACTAGGAAATCTCCACAGGCGGCGCCAAATTGTTTGACCAAAAAATATATGCTTCCGATTAAACTATTAAATCTTATGTAATAAAGGGCTAAACCTAGTTAACGATAATATCTCTAGATTTAGAACTAGATAGTGCAAATAGCGTGAGACAATGTTGGTGGCGAACTAGAAATAATGTGCATTTAATACTCCAAAGGATTTGAGCAATAATAGAGGAATGTCAAGTAATAAATAGCTATAAATGACATTTATGTAAATAAGGAAAATGATTCATCCAATATTCAATGAGGTGGATGATTCTTCTTTCTCACAATGATGAATAACAGACAAATCCTAGAATATTGGAACTATTATCGAATCTGATGGAAAAGTATGGAATAATATATGATGGAATCTTAGTAAAAATGTAGAGTTTGTATCTTTACTAGAGAGAAAGTTTTCTTCTCAAAAAGTGTTCTTAGCAAAATGAATATTACATGCCTCATCCCCTTATCTCTTTTCTATTTATATGAGACATATCCCTAGTCAACCCTAATAGTACAAGTGCAGAGAATATTCAATAGAATATTTTCTTTAATATCTTATTACAAAAACTAGCCGTTAGTGTTCTTCCCTTTGATGCTCGACCTCGACCATTGTTGACTGTCCGACCACGAATCCCATTGTTTCCTAGTCGACCTGTACCTCATCTTTTCCTTAATACCACTTTATGCTAATTTCCTTTAGGGTAGATCTTGGTCTATACACAGAGGCGGATCCAGAATTTTAAGCTTATGAGTTCCTACAACAATCTCAAGTTAATCTGCATGATAACTGGACCAACGAACTGGGTTCCAAGCTAAATATTCTTATACTTTTAATAAATTTTTTAGTACAACTATAGGGTTTATGCAAAAGTTACTGAATTCACGGGAACCCGTATCCTTTTCTCTGGATCCGCCCCTGTCTATACAGTACCCACATCAACAAAAAAAACACTCACAACTGTGCGCCAATTGATTATTAACCTGATAATAATAATAATAATAATAATAATAATAATAATAATAATAATAATAATAATAATAATAATAATAATAATAATAATAATAATAATAATAATAATTTTTTAGTCATTTTGCTCTGTTGTTCGGCAATATCTGGTGGTTACTGAAGTCAAGATGCAAGTGTTGAGATAAAAAAGATCTCAGGTTCAATTTCACACCAACATATGATAGCAGTGCACATAATTTAATTTTTTGTAAGTGGTGTACATTTTTTAGTAGGTGAACAAATGAATAAATACTATAATGATATCATATTGAAAAAAAACACAAAATTTAAAACATTACTATAACTCTCTACGGTGAGTTTTTTATTTTTTGAAATGTATCAATGATAGTCTCATTAGAAATAGTACTAATATATCTTTTTCCAAGAATGATATTGAGTATATTTGTTGTCTTTTTTTTTTCCTCGAGTATATTTGTTGTCTACTTGACAAATAGATGGATTCTAGCTCAAATGGTTTTTGTTGTTCCTTAGTTTTGTTAGAGGTAGGTGCTTCAAGCCTCACTAATATAAATTATATTTTAATAAATAAAGTCTCCAAAACGATAAATACATAAGCGTGTCGCCAAAAGGAATCAAACTCTTGACCTCAGCAAAGTATTTGAAGCGCTTAACCACCAAACAGCAAGCCATTTTAGTTTAAGTGGTGTCAACCGTTTCATTTTATACGCGTTATTTGGTTTTACTTATGTCTCTATATATACATTTAATATATCTTTCCGACAAAACGGTGTCCCATTAGGTGGCTCCGCCCCTGTATGATAGAGGGTCTCAATTTACACAACTTTCTTTCCGATGAAGCGGTGTCCCATAAGGTGGCTCCGCCCCTGTATGATAGAGGGTCTTAATTTTACACAACTTTTATGTTGGTATTCTCGAGCCACTGTATGATAGAGGGTCTTAATTTTACACAACTTTTATGTTGGTATTCTCCCTACTACTAGTGAATCTTTTAAGAAGATAGTTTGTTTTAAGAAAAAAGTGCAGCAAATTGAATCTCCTTATCAGGTGATACGTTAAATTGTTTTAAGAAAATCATGTAAAGAAAAATAATAGAACTAAATACAAATGAAGTACATAGAGAGACCAACTATCCCATTCTCTCAGTTCCCAACTTCTAATTTGTTACTTTCCATTCTGTTGTAAATTTAATAAAAGAAAAAGAATAAGAAGAAGAAATCTCTCTTAAATTCTTAACACTTAAAACTGCTAGCTTAGGGTATCAACATGCAGAAGCATAATATAACCCCCNTCTACAGGTATCAATATCAGTTACAAAGTCTTTTGGCAACTTTGGAGAGTTGATGACTGGCTAATTCTTCCTGCGGGCTGGGATGTATTTTCAGTAAGTAAACAACCAAACTTAATTTCACCAACCAGATCAATCAGAGCCAACATCAACCCCTTTTTTCTGCAACAACTCCTTGGCTTCACGAACGTCCTAGAAAATCAGAAACGCTCTTATTACTTCTTCAGCAAAATGCCTATTCAGTCCCTTTTTCTCATATTTCACTATAAAATGCCCAGAGGACCTCCTATCTTGACAACAGCAATTGAATACAATAACTGTTAAAAAGAAAGGCAGCTGTACCTGCTGTAAGTAAACAGCTTCTTGCGGGCACGTGGGAAATTTCATGAGGCCAACACCTACCATTAAGAGACCGTAGCATCCAAGGGACACAATCAAGTATAGAGGCAACTACAACATCATAATAGAACCATTTAGAATGTGGAAAAACAGGTTAAGCAAATGCTGAAGAGGAAATCATTGTCAATAAGAGCTCACCAGCCAAGTATAGTTCTCTGGAACCACTGATGTCTGCAGCAAGCCTATCCAAAGGGCGGATACCCCAAAAACTATCGTCAAAATCTTCACGATTTGTTTCATTTGGATCTGCAGAGAAGTAATAATTATTGATGTAATAAGACAAAGGTTGATATGGATAAATATCTGATATATCATGAAGAATAGAGAGGCAAACTATTTTGTAATAGTGCTTCTTTGATACCATATCATCGAGTGGAAAAGAGCATCCAATATTTTACAGAGATACAAACCCAAAACATTGCTCTTTCCATTCCCATTTTACTACAGAACCCCTAATAACTAACTTGCACCATGACACCTAATAATTCCACTTATGACATATCAAGTTGTTGCATATCTAGTGACAGGTAAATATTTCTTAGATTCATTAGTATAAAAATAAGAGCACGGTACAAGTTAGAAACCACAAAACTCATTCCACATGCTCCAAAAAGATATCCTCTAGCTCCTGCTTTTGTTCCTCTAGTTTCCACTTAATTACAAGCTCCTCAAAAAGTTATTAACATCAGCATGAAAACCAAGAGTACAGTACTACATATAGGATAAGCATTAACCTCTTTCTTAACTAAGAAAAAATAAGATTCTTAAATAAAAACACAGCTGTGCTATTTTAAAATTGGATTCTGCTACCGGATCTTATCTCATTTTCAAAAATGCCAACCATAGGTGATGTTTGGCTAAAAATCCATGTTTTCATATGCTAAGTGCCTTACATTTTTGCCCAACTATTGCTAATTCTAACGTGTAATGGAGTTACTTGAGCTTAATTTTAGGTAGGAGTCGATTGGAAGTGATATGGGAGGAATCTGCGCAAATTGAAGCCGAAAAGGAAGGAATTCAGAAGAAGTGTAGACTTTGGCGTCCAGAAGTGCGCAAGGAGCCGACCTTCTGGACGCCAAATTCAGCAGAAGCAAAATTTGGGCGTCCTGGCGACGCCAACCAAAATGCCAAGGCAGGGCTTAAAATAATTCACCATCCAGGGGGGCGCTGCGCCCATCGTGTCGCCTACTTCCAGGAAACCTCTTATTTCGACTTGGAGAGGGGCTTTTCGGTCCTACACGTCCCCAACAAGTGTAAAAGGAGTTCTAAACCTACTTTTTGGGGGTTGGACAATTTTTGGAGGCTAGAATATCGTGTGGAGCAATTTTGGAGGAGAAAATCATCGAGTTCTTCATTCCTTAATCTCTTCTTAGTAACTTATTTATGCAAAATACTTGTGTAATTGTTACTACAATTATGAGTGGCTATGTTCTCTATTTTCTAGGGTTGTGGTTATCATGAATATTGAAATTTTTTAAATACATCCTCGTCAATTTGAATTATCATCTTGTGGTTGTTTCTCTAATTCAGTGTTTTACAAAGCGATCGCTTCGTCGCTTCGTCGCTTTAAGCGACGCGACCAACCAAACTAGAATTAAAGTTTAATTCTAGTTTTAACTTGTGAACTGTTGTAGCTACTGATTCACCCCATTATCTGCACTATGCTTGGAAAAGCCATGTTTATATTAGAGTAGAATTAGAGAGAGCTTGTTTCTGAACCCGTGGCTTGGGGAAGGACTTCGCGGTTAGGATAGGAATATACCTAACCATCTCACTTAGTTGAATATTGTAATTAATTCGTTCATGATAGATTCAATACCGAAAGAATATATGGTTGATATATTATGGGCATATGAATAGTTTATGGGAACATGCTATTTATATAAATGATTCGGTCAACTAGCAACCATAGATAATTCAGATTAACAGGTGTAATCACGAACTCAATAGGATTGATAAACTGACTACAATCCTGGAATCGTCATCTCCTCCGATTAAAATCAAATCACAATCTCTTGCTTCGTGTTAGTTTAGTTAATTATTTGTTTAATTTCCGCAAAAGTAGTTTAGCAGCAAAACCATCACTCTTGGTTACCTTGGGCAGTTAATTGATTTTAGTTAGCTTATTTAACAATTATTCTAAATCTCTGTGGACTCGACATCCGACTGTCAAGTCACTTTATTACTTGACTGCCATGCTTGGATGTGCTCGGGGAACCAATAAGTCATTCATATGTAGTAGCAGTAGTAGTTAAATAGTCGTAGTAGAATCTAAAGAGACTTCAAGAAATCAAAGCTGGAAAGAAGGGAGCACACACACATATGATAGTCAGAAATGCACTGTTGATTAGCTATGCATTGCATTTGCCACAGCCCTCACTCTCTCAATCTCACAGCCTCTCTTTTTTCTTTGTGAGTTTCTCAGACTGCTAAGACTGAGTCTTTTTCTAAGGCACTGAGTCTTCCTGTGGGTTCGACCAACACCACCAACATTTTGATGGGAGCTTTTGTTAGTATGGTAAACAATGGACCACTAGAAGTTGCTGTTTTGGGGTTTCACCCAACACATTACCTTTTTCCTTTTCTGAACAACAACAAACAGATACTACATATAATATATTTCAGTTTCTAGCTGTTGAATCTCTTTTTCACAATCAAGATAGCAATGCAGTGTTTGGTAGGCCATATAAGAAAATATAATCCCTGCATAACCTGATCCAGCGGTTGCTCACGACATTAAACAATACATGCATTAAGTTATGTGGGAATCTATGTAATATTTTATAACAATCCCTTCGTTATTATTCACAACATAAACAATCTTGCCTTTTAATTCTAGCATAGCTAACATGTGAAACAAGTGATCCCTCAGGACATCTAAACTGGGACAAAGGGAATACATAAGCACACAGATATATAAAACTATGAACACATTTGTTTGCATTAGCTTCAATTAGGAATGCCATTTCTTTTTCAGTACACCAAAGAGAGCGAGAAAACAGAGGGCCTGCCAGTAAAAGGTGCTAAATGTTACCGACTACTTCCGTCGATGGAGTGCATTAGAGAATGATTACATAGTCTCATCGCCAAATCAAGCAGAACAAACTCAAAGCCCATGAAATCCAACTCCATATGGTTGCCTATTTGAACATTGTGGACATAAAATAGTACTATGGAGGAAAACCAAACAGGTAAACAATACTATATTAAATTGTGTCACTTCTCTACGAGTTACTACTAGTAAATAATTGACTCAAAATATGAAGTGAAACAAATAATGAATTCTCACACTGATAATGAAATAATCTTAAGCTGCAGGGGAGCACTTGTGCAGTTCTTCTTTACTTTTGATGTCCAGAGAAATATCTATATCAATTCAAGAAACAAGATCAAATATGCTTTGAACCCCTATTTAGCGACAACCAAAAAAACTAAAATCTTAATTTTCCATAAACCATAAAAAAATCTTAATTTTCAATTAGCAAAGGCACTCTCCATCCAAGGCAGGTCTTGTGCAAACTTCAACATCACGACAGCGACATATATGTTGCACCATCAAAGCATCACACTCTCATTCACTATTATGATAACAATGTAGGCGCTGCACCCATTAAAGAAATCTAGTGGAATAAAGGCAGGACATAGGTGATCTTTGAGGCTGTAGAGACACAGAGACACAGAACTTGGGAGAAAAGATCAAGTGACTACCAATTTTATATTTCACTTCTTGATATGGTGGTGTCCGTTGCGCGTACCTCGACTATTCCTTTTTTTTGCCTCTACCGAGAGTTGAAAAATCTAGTCTCCCATAATTTTCATCCACTTTATTGACCGCTAGACCATACTCTTGGGTGCTATATATTATGCACACGCATACACATATATTCCCTTGATAGTATTGAACCTTCCCCCAAAAGAAAATACTAAAGGGAGCTAGTTACTAGCCAACCTCTGTTGTGTGTCAAAAGCTTGGATACACAATCACATTTCATATCCAGACACTTGCAGTGGTCTTCATCATAATCAAGGCCCCTAATTATAAACATCCACTGTTCATTATCCAAATAACTTACCTGGAAAACTGCATTCTTCACATACAAACAAGGCGTTAGACAACTAAAGATATGGATATGCTTTCAACCTTAAAGGAAAGAATATAAAGGTGGAAAACTAACCAATACTCAGAAGTTAATGAACTAAACACTATAGGCAATGGCATGCGCAAGTCAGAAAGGGTAAAAAAGAAGGATTAGTTCCAATTCTGGCTATTTCCAACGGAACAGACTTGAAATTGGGAGGAGAAAGAGGGTGGCTGCTATCACTCTCTTCTGCAGATGTTAATCACCTCATACACAGAATCAGAAGATTAGCGACAACTGCTATCAGGAGGGATAAAGTGTGAGTGGCCTCAGTGGCGGACAAAATGCAGGAAGTAAGCTTGAGATGGTTCGAGCACGTGAAGAGGAGAGACATGGATGCCCCTGTGAGGAGGTGTGAGAGGTTGGCCATTGAAGGCCCTAGGTTCTACCTAGGTAGGCGTAAGAAATATTAGGGAGAGATGATTAGGCAGGACATGACGCATCTTCAGCTTACCAAGGACATGAGGGTGTGGAGGTTGAAAATTAGAGTTGAGGGGTAGTAGGTAGTCGAGCGTATTGCCTTTCCATATCAATAATACTATTATCAATCTCGTATTTCCTCTATTTAGATTTTTATTACTACTTAATGTTCCTTCTGCTTTGGATTTCTTATTATCTTGTTACTGTTGTTGTTACTGCTTCTCTTTGCATGTCATCTTCTCTTATTATTTTGCTTTCATGCGCCAAGGGTCTCTTAGAAACAACCTCTTACCCGTACAAGGTAGGAGTAGGGTCTGCGTACATACTACCCCTATCCAGACCCCACTTGCGGGATTACACTAGATATGTTGTTGTTATCAAGAGGGATGAACTTGGTAATCATTTCAAAGTTCCATTTCAATAAATTAACTCAAAATCCTTGTGCAATTCCCCAAACATCATGTGGCAGTATTGAGGTCTCACGTTCTATTCTACAGTAGGCTATCAAACCTAAACTAGAATATATATGCCAAAGGAAAGCAATTTAGAGGAAAAAAAAATCCCATTTTGTTTCTACTCCTTTCCTTACAAAACCCTACGAATTTGCGCATCTAGGATATAGCACATCAATTCATGATTTCTTTCTATAAACACATTCCTTGGAGTTACTTGCAAATGAAATTCGGACTATTAGCAACAAGGATACACCCATCAAAACGAGTGTAACTCCGAATCATTTCAAAATGCCATCCTAATTAATTAATTAATGGCACAATTTATGATCCTTTTTATATCAATATATAATCATCATATTACGTATTAATTCTTGAATTCTGTAGCAGACCCACAGAACCCGATTCAGAGAAAAAGAAAAAAACACAACAGAATCCACATTTCGTTAAGACTCACAAAAACATACCATAATTAAACCAAATAGTAACAAAACTAAATTGAAAGACAAACAAGAAAACACAAATAATCCAAGCATTTCCCAACTGGGTATACAAAAATATACTATTCAAAATATCCAGAATAAAAAGATGAAATATATTAGAAAAATGACCTTTGTAGATTGAAGGCTGATTCGCTGAGATCTTCGCCTATAGAAAGAATGAAAGAATCGCAATGGCATGAGGAGGGAACATGGGAGCAGCGGTTTAAGAATGAGCCAACTTTGAAATTTGGCACCGAAACAAACTACAAGTTACCCTTTCATCCTCAAAAGTTATAGAATTCGCCAATTGTGTCTTTGAAAATTGAGATCATGCCATAAGTAATATCAATTGGAGAAGTTTTATTGTGTGCAGAGTTGTGTGAGGCTCTTTATATTTTATAAATTTATGGACCCAATTTTAAACTTTTGGGTTCATAAAATTTGATTTCATACAACTAGTGACACAAAATAAAAATTTCCAGGTTAGATTCTCTCCAATTGATTTTGCTCAAGTATTATTCAATGATGGCATGAGATCATGCCAAGTCATCTGAATATAATCCAATGGCTGTAATTCATTCTTCTGCAAAGCAATATCCATTTCTCTATTTTTCTAACCTCTTTTACCGTTAATTCAAAGCTAAAAAACGTACACTATACTCGCTGCTTCGTATTTCTATAAACACCTTACAATTTGAAATGGGTAAAAGCTCTTAGAAGAGGAACTAAACAGATAATTTTTGAAATTTCTTGTTCAAATTTTTGGTTTCGAATTTTAAAGACTGAATTTATATGTTATTCAACTTTCAATGGCTCATCGAGAGCAAATAAACTTGTTCTAATGTGTTGAAGAATTACAAAAATAAAACTATGAGATGAGATTGTCACGCACTTCAACATGATAGATAGAGGTTCTAGATTTGAGTTTCACCGCCACTTATTTTAATAAATGAATTTTTATGTGCCTGGCCAATGAAAAAATGAAGCCCGCACGTGAAAGGACGTGTGGAAGAAATAATTAAAAAAAATAAAAGTGTACGAGATGCTCCTGCACTTCAACATAATTTGAACTTTTCGGAACAGATGAATAACATACGATAGTAATTTTTTATGCTTTTCTTTTTAGCCACTATATTCTGATCAAGTATTTCACGTTCCTCATTAATCAATCTAATTAGTAAATGAAACAGACATCCCAAGGCTATGAGTAACCCAACATAAGCAGCGAGGCAACGAGCACAAAACTCTCACTGTGTTTTTTTTTTTTTTTTTTTTTTTTTTTTTTTTTTTTTTTTTATCAACAATTTTTGATAAAAAAGTTGTTGAAGAGGGTGATAGTTACTTTGTACAAGGAGCAAAGTCTACTCAAATGTGGATCCCAAAATATTAGTTACGCCTTCACCGTATAGTTATCAAGATGTAGGTGAGATATTCAATTTCTACTCAAATGTGGATTTATGTCCAATTTTTGCGTTGGTATTCTTCCTACTAGTTTTTGTTGGTATTATTTATAATGCAAAGGCAAAGATTTTTTTTTTTTGAAAATCTATTTACAATCAATAGCCATAAGTCTTTTTATTTTACAAGTATCCTATTTATTTCCAAATGGCTTGTTGCATAAAGCCTTGTGGCTTAAATAATTGGTACATGGCAAGAGTTTTTACATGTGGCATTGATTTAAAGTCAAGTGTTGAATGACTTTGACAAGTGGCTATGCAAATCTACCATATGTCTTCATGCATGGAAGACTAGGTACACTTGTCAAATTGACTAATATATTTGGACAAGTGTTAAAAGACTCTCCACACTTGTCATACATGCAATCTCCCTAATTGCCTATAAATAAGATGATCATTAGCCATCATATTCACTCAATTCTTAACCAAGAATTCATCTTGCTAATCATTACTTTTTTCCTACAATATTTTAATTTTTGTATTAACTACAGAAAAAACCTTCATCTTCTCTTCTTTCTAGGCAACTGTTTTGTGCAAATTCTAAACTTCCAACCACGAGTGCACATGTTTGGAGGTACTGTGGAACCTTGAGGAGCGACCAGTCTTAACGATTTGCACCCAGTCCGGCCGAAATCGCTTTCAAGGCAGTGGCTTGCCACGACACAGTATTTTTGTGATAAGTTTTTCTTCTTTCCTTCTTGTTCTTAGTCAATATTATCTACTCATTTTCCTTACAATTTGAAAGCGACTTTATATATAATGTTGGCAAATGGCTACCACTTTGAACAAAACACTTCCCGATCTGTCAAAGCTTGAGCCTTTAGATGGAAACAATTATATGCATTGGTCCCAGAAACTTTTAATTTTCTTTGAACAATTAGAAGTTGATTATGTTTTATTTAACGATCCTCCTGCTGATATTGTTGCTGATAATTCTAATTCTGCTAATATTGTTGTTGCTGATGATACTGCTAAGAAGAAATTTGAAAAGGATAATAACACAGTAAGCGGGCATCTGCTTAATCTTATGACTAACCCTCTCTTTGATTTGTTTATAAATTATAAATCTGCTAAAATTATATGGGACAATTTGGATAAGAAATATGGTGCTGATGACGCGGTATGTCGTTGGAAAGTGGATCAAGTTTCAGATGGTTGATGATAAGCCAATCATGGAACAGGTTCACGAGTATGAGAACTTGATTGTTGATGTTTTGAACGAGGGCATGGAGATATGTGAGGTTCTTCAGGCTAATGTTCTGCTTGAAAAGTTTCCACCTTCCTGGAGTGATTACAGGAATCAACTAAAGCACAAGAAGAAAAACTTAACTCTTCAAGAACTAATCAGTCACATGAGGACTGAGGAAGTAAACAGTCTCAAAGATGAGGAGTCTGAACGGCTTAAGGATAAGATGAAATCTCTCTCTTTTACTTCTTCTACAGCTAACATTGTGGAATCTTCTACTACTTTTGTGAAAGACAGGTTTAAAGGAAAACAGAAGAAAGGCCAAAAGAAAGGACACATGAAGAAGTAGAATTACTTCAATAAGTCAGAGGGCCATATACAAAAGTCGAAAGGACCTTTCTATGTCTGTAGCAAAATTGGTCACAAGGCTTTTCAGTGCAACCAGAGACAAGGACAAAGCTCAAAGAATGGAGGAAAAGCTCCAGCCCAAGCTAACCTTACTGAGTGTGGTGATGTCATTGTTGCTGTGGTTGTTGAGGCGAACATGGTGGCTAACAAGACTGACTGGATACTGGACACAGGCGCTTCAAGGCACCTTTGCACCAACAAGGAGCTGTTTCATGACTTTGAGGAATCTGTTGATGGCGAGTATGTCTACATGGGTAACTCCACTACAGCTTGAGTTATGGGTAAAGGAAAAATTCTCCTTAAATTAACTTTTGGAAAACCCTTATCCTTGAACAATGTTCTGTATGTACCCTCCCTTCGTAGAAACTTAGTTTCTGGTGCGCTTCTCAACAAACAGGTCTTAAACTTATTTTTGGATTTGATAAAGTTATTATTTCTCGTGGAGGAGACTTTTTTGGAAAGGGTTACCTTAGTGGGAGGTTTATTTGTACTGAACATCGCTCAAGAGATTACTAATAATGCTAGCACTTTCAATTCTGCTTATATTGTTGAGTTTATTGATTTGTGGCATGGTAGACTAGGTCATATTAATATTGCTTCTGTTAAAAGACTTAGAAAAATGGAATTAATTCCTATAGTTAATGTTGATACTTTTTCTAAGTGTCATGTTTGTGTAGAAGCAAAATATACCAAAAAGCCTTTTAAGAATGTAACTAGTAGAATTTTTTTTTGCTTGAACTAGTACATTCAGGCTTAGTAGATTTCAAGAACGTTGTTAGTAAGGGTGGAAAGAAATACTACATCACCTTTATAGATGACTTTTCTAGATACACTAAGGTATATCTTCTTAAGTCAAAAGATGAGGCTGAAAGCATGTTTTTGAAATACAAGGCAGAAGTAGAGAATCAATTAGATAGAAAAATCAAGAGGTTTAGGTCTGACATGGGTGGTGAATATAGTACTAATACTCTAAAAGTCTTTTATGAGAAAAATGGTATTATACATGAGGTTAGTGCTCCCTATATTCCCTAACAAAATGGTGTAGCCGAACGGAAAAATAGAACCCTTAAGAAAATGATGAATTCTATGCTTTTGAGTTCGTGTTTATCTCATAATATGTGGGGGGGAAGCTATTTTATCTGCATGCTATGTTCTTAATAAAGTCTCTCATAAGAAGTTAGATAAAATCCCGTATGAGTTATGAAAAGGGTTTGCCCTTAACTTGAAAATTCTAAAAGTGTGGGAGTGTTTGGCTAAGGTTGGTCTACCTGATTTTACACAAGTAACTATTGGACCCAAGACTTTTTGATGCTATTTTCATTGGTTATGCTCAAAATAGTGCTGCATATAGATTTATGTCTTTGAATGATAGTTCTATTTGTGAATCTAGAGATACAAAATTTTTTGAGCATGTTTTTCCATTGAAAAATAATATGCCTAGTAATGCTTCTACATCTATGTCTGTTAATTATTATATTGTGCCTTCTCCTAGTGTTACTACTAATGAGCATGAAAATAAACTTAGAAGAAGTAAGAGGCGTAGAATTGAAGCTATCTTTGTTCCTAACTTTATTATTACTTTCTTGACTAAAAATATTGATCTTGATATTTTGAGTGATGAATTAGTATCAATCTATTTAATAGAAGAAGACCCTAAGACATACAGTGAAGCAATTAGATCAATAGATGCTAGTTTTTGGAAAGAGACCATTAAAAGTGAATTAGACTCTATAGTTTCTAATCATACTTGTGACTTGTCTGATTTGCCTAAAGGTTGTAAACCCATAAGTAGAAAGTGGATATTTAAGAAGAAATTGAGACCTGATGGTACATTTGAGAAATATAAAGCGGGACTTGTTATTAGGGGTTTTAACCAAAAGAAAGACATTGATTACTTTTACACTTATTCTCCTGTGACTAAGATAGCGACTATTAGAACTGTTGTTGCTTTAGCCGCTATTCATAATTTAGCGATACATCAAATGGATGTTAAAACGGTTTTCCTAAATGGTGATTTAAAGGAAGAGATCTATATGTCTCAACCTGAGGGATTTATGATCCAAGGACAGGAGAATAAAGTATGCAAATTGAGAAAGTCTTTGTATGGTCTAAAGCAGGCGCCTAAGTAATGGTACAAAAAGTTTAATAACACATTAGTGGGTAATGATTTTGTTGTTAATGCATCTGATACTTGTGTTTATTCCAAGATGATAGGATCAAATTGTGTTATTATATGTTTGTACGTGAATGACATGTTAATCTTTGGCCCTAGAAAGTCGTTAATGAGACTAAGAATTTTTTATCTTCTAAATTTAAAATAAAAGATCTTGGAGAAGTAGATGTAATTTTAGGGGTTAAAATCAAATGAAATTCTAATGGTTTTTCATTGTCTCAGTCTCATTATATTGAGAAAATGTT